CCGGCGGATGGTGTTTGAACGTACCCGGCGGATGTAGGCCGCTCCGGCTTGACATGGGGGTTTTAGAGCCCCCAGTCAATGTGCGCGCTAGCGTTGTTGGGCGGATGCAAGTTTTGGGCACGGCGCATCCGGATCGAGAGGGCACCGAGCGAANAGTCAATGTGCGCGCTAGCGTTGTTGGGCGGATGCAAGTTTTGGGCACGGCGCATCCGGATCGAGAGGGCACCGAGCGAACTGCGCAAGTACGAACGGATGACACTGAAACCCGCCCTGGGCCCAGGGTTCCGACGGGCCGGGAAAGGGACAGTGACAATCGGGAGGAAACCTTGGACGACCAACGGTGGCAAAGCGTCACGCGGCGACACCGGCGACAGGCCTCTTGTAGCACTAAGCGCGGCAGCGCTGCAGTGCTCCCGCCCCGTCAACCTCTTCGCGAGATTAGAAGCCGAGTTACATCGGAATCTATTGGGCGGGTCATGTGCTGGGGGCACGGGGACCTGACAGTCGCTCAATTTTGGGATAGACTCCGACACTGTTGTGGAGCCCGACTCACGGGACGTGTGGCCAAGGTCACAAAGACCAACGAGACACGGGATCGACGACGGTTCGAAATCTTTTGCAAAGCGAGCGATGAAGCACTTGTGTTGAGGAAGCTCAGGCAGAATCAGCACAAGTGGGGTTGGTATACCCGGGCTCACACGACGGAACGTATGTTCCATCGAGCCTTCCGGAGACTAGATCGGACCCAGCCCCAGTCGGGGAACTCTGGGGAGGTACCGGGGACGGCTAAGGAGGGCAATACCACGTTGAAAGTGGCAACACTTAACATCAACGGGGTCAAGTCGAAGAAGATACAACTCCAGCGTGTGCTAGCGATGTACCGGATTAACTGCATTGCCCTACAGGAGACGACCCTGACTGTGACAGACTGGGCGCTCAACGTGCCGGGGTATCGAACGTTTGCGGTGTATGGAGAAAGGACGAGTTCGACACGTGGAGCGGCCATTTTGTTGCGGAATAAGATGGGGGCACAAACGGTGGGCAAGAGCTCGCCGTGGCACACCTTCGTCCGGTGCTATGGTCTAGGTACGCCCTGCATTATCGGCAGTGCGTACATTCCATCGGGAATGGCAGGTAAAGTTCCTTTGCGAACTGTCCGAAACCAGATGAGGGATTTGAGGGTCAAGTACCCGAACGATTCCATCATCCTCATGGGAGACTTCAACCGACTTCGCCCCAGGGTTGAACAATGGTTCAACTGCGCGTATGAATCGATACGGGTGTGGGAACTCACGGGGAAAGATGCCGACCTCGGAACACGGGACCATGGGTCTAAGCGAGTCATAGATCACATCATGACGTCCTTGGCCCACCCGCAAGACACACTGCGGGCACCCCGAGTACTGAGGAAGGTGGACATCTCCGACCACTATCCAGTGGTGAGCACGTTCAGGAGCGACCGAGCAGATGCAAGCACAGGCGACAGCGTAGGTGTCCCAATCAACGCACGTACGATCCAAAGGGGAGAGAGAATCAACACCGGATTGATTCCGATGCCAGGGACACACTGGTATCAAGAGAGCGGACCAAGAGGTCGTGCGAATCACCAGAAAGTGATCCATGCGAACTATTGGGAACCACTCGCGGACCTCATCGAGGAGGGCAATGAGGAGCTCTCACCGGAGGATACGACGGCGTTGGTTGACGCTGCGGCTAGCCGCATGGTGGAAGCCTCCCACCAGGTGGCGAGGGAATGTGGACAAACTAAGGACAGTTCGACCCAACGTGCACCTGCACTGAAGCCCCAGATCGCGCGAGCCATTGATGATCGTGGTCGCCTGTATAGAGCCGCCAAGAGGTTGCGGAAGAACTCACCACGGGCTAAGGTCGCTTGGGAACGGTACCATGAGGCGAGGATGAAGGCAGAACGGTTGGTTCGGAAGGACCGACGACGTGCATGGACGAAAGCCCTTTGTACGGCGAGTGAACAGCTACGTTCGGACCCCAAAGCGGCTTGGCACTTTATGTCCGCTGTTGCGGGATGGAAGCGGAAGGACTCATCGGGCGGCCTGCAACCGGTGCAGCACCCTGATTCACGCGCGCTCCTCACGAGTGCGAATGACATCAGCGCGGCATGGAGGACCCATTATCAGCGACTGGCGGCGGATGTGACGGGGAACAGCCGGAAATCGGATAAATGGAATGCATGGCGGGCTGCCCCCCAAAGGCGACATATGACCGAACTCGATGGGCCCATTCTGAGAGAAGAGATGGTGGAGGCACTAGCCCGTATCAAACGACATAAATCGCCAGGCAACGATGGGGTACCAGCAGATTTCCTGGAGTTGGCAGGGGGGGAAGAGGGGTCCCAGTCTCCAATGGGGAAGACAGTACTTGGTATGCTCAACTTGATCTGGAAAACTCGGGTGATTCCGACGGACAGGAGAGAGTCGACAGTTGTACCGATACCGAAGAAAGGCGACATGACCGACATGAACAATCACCGCGGGATATCGTTGATGAATACGGTGCTCAAGGTATTGGTCATGATCATAAGCACCCGCCTGAACTCGGCATTTGAGCGACACAAACTGTTTTCTCAATCCCAAGCGGGTTTTAGGACTCGGGAGGAATGCGTGACACAGGCCGCATGTCTGCTGGAAATCTGCCAACGACGTAAGTTCAGGCGCAAGTCTGCTTATCTGATGTTCGTGGATCTCAAGAAGGCGTACGACACAGTGCCGCAAGAAGCACTCTTCGCGAAACTAGTATTCTATGGGGTACGGGGAGAGATGCTGGCCTTTATTCGAGCTTTGTACGCGAACAGCAAGATCGCGGTTCGCACGGGCGACCTGTTGTCCGACTCGTTTAGCCTGGAGCGAGGAGTACGGCAGGGATGCCCACTGTCGCCGGTGCTGTTCAATATCTTCATCAACGATATATTGGACGGAGCCGAGTCACTGGGAGTACCCGAGGTGGGAAACCAACTTGAACGAGCACCTCGTATCCCGGGCCTACTGTTTGCGGACGACCTCGTGACCATTTCGCCGACCCGGGCAAAATTGGCTGCGATGGACGACCACATATCAGTGTGGATGGCGGAGAACGAGATGTCGGCTGGAATTCACAAATGCGGTGTGATGGCCATCGGACACGGACGACGGAGGCTACGCGAGAGGCCTGATAGGTGGAAACTAGCAGGAGAGACACTACCAATTGTCGAGTCGTATACATACCTAGGGCTTGAGTTCAATCGAAGGCTCGA